CTAGTATTTTTTTTAAATCGCTAAAGGGAATAAAAATGTAATAATTTTTCTTCAGAAACAGTGGCAGAAATAGTCTGATTCTAAACAGTTAAATCAACAGCAGATTATATGGTGCTATAAACACCTGCTTGAAACATTTCAGCAGGGGTCCTTTTTAAAATGCACTCAGTACTGATATGCAAAATACAGCATAATATTGTATAACTTTTTAAAATGTATGCGAGACTAAGGGTTATCAAAACAGTTACATTGGCTCCTTACTTTTCAGCTGTGTATTTTTAATGGATGTAAAAAAAAAAAAAAGAAAAGTTAGGTTTAAGAAAATCTTAAACTTGTTTAAGAAAATCCAAAACGTGTTGTTTCCTCTTTTGGGATGAAAAATGCCAAGAAACTATGGTAAAATCAAAGGTCATCACGCATCAGCTGTATCTGGTAGCTGTCTGCATCTTATATTGTTGTTATGTCCTGTATTGTTCTTTTGAAGCAAGTTTGCAGAAAAGTTGAAGGCCACAAAACTTCAGTTACTAATTTAAGTACAGTAATGACAGGAGATACACAAAAATAAATGGTAAAATCCAGATAGTTCTGGAGATATGTGACTTTTGTACCTTCCAAATTAAGCACTTTGTTGATCTTCATGGGTACCATAATGGTTTTTAATAGTCAGTGTGAAGCAATCAAAACTGAGTTTGTTTAAATATATTGTCTTGAATTTCAGTCTAGCAGACATGACAAATAACTGGGAATGAATCATGGTTCACTTGAAAATCAGTAAGTTCAGGTAAAACTGAAATGCAGCAATTTGTAATAATCAAAGTCAATTAGCATCCAAATTTCCTGAAAATGCAAAAAATTATATAATATATTGGAGGTTACGTTGCTTGTTTCAAGTGGTTTTTTCATCATTTCTTTAGGAATTGTTGGTTTTATATATATTGGGAGCAAGTATGAAGTGACTAGAGTGTTTAAATATTTGAAAATATTGACTGTTGGAAGGTTTGAAATCAATTATTTGCAAGCTCAAAATTCTAAAATTAAATGCTTGAATACTAGACTCAAAGTTTTACGGGTTTTAACTTGATACAAGCTCAGTTGCCAGCTTAGCTCAGTTGTCAGCCTTAGCTCATTTGTCAGCTAAGGGTGTTTTACACTGTCTGCTGTTCGCCAAATTGTTTTTGTCTCTGGATGGTTGAGTTTGAATGTATCTGTGTGCTTTATGTCCTGTTTCTGTTGCAGCTATGAAAGAAAGGGAGATAACTGGTGTCAAGGGAAAGGGCTTGCATAAATGGAAAAGAGATTTTATAAGGCCAGGAGTAAGCCTAAAGAATCAACTTCTCTACGCTGTGAAGTATACATGCCAATGTAAATATTTTCAAAGAGCACAATACAAGGAATTACACAACTCACGAAAACTTGACATTCTGAGGTTAGTGTTCTGATGATACTACTACTGAGGCTTAACTTTCCTTAAGGGCATGCCATTCAATGAAGCAGATTTATATTGATGTAACTCCTGTTCCTGAGAAAGTCTTCTGAAAGTAGTGAAGGACTGGTCTCTAACAAGTGAGAAATCACACTTTGCTACGTAACTAAAGTAGCGTTGCCAAATATAAGAGTCCAGTAAAAGCATTTAAGAAATTTCTCATAATAGTAACAATAAAAAAGGAATAATTGCATATGTGGTTTACATCTGCCAGTTATCAGACACAGGAAGCTATTAGCTGATCTGTAAAGGGAAGTCTTGCAGTGTAAATGTTTTAACTTTTGGAAAATGGTCTTTTTAAACCAGATTTTATGAATAAGTCCTAAGAGTATTATTAGTAATCCATTTTTGATGTTAAACGAGAATGTGATTTTAATTCAGTAAGTGCATGAGAAAAACATTGGAATAAGGTTCCTGCACTAAATCCACACAGCAGGTAGCCATTCTGTGTGTCTTAAACTTACTGTAAAACTGACCTTGATCATTTTTCGGTTGTAATGATTTTTCAATAAAAAACCTACAAAGCAACTGTGTGGTGTTTTTTTTTCCCTTGTCAACATGAGTTCAAAATGCTTCTCATTGTCATCCTCTAATTCTTTATATTCCTACTAGCACTGTAGCACAAGAAGAGTAGTTAATCTACAGTACAAGATAAAGGCTTCACATAATAAACAATGATACTGCTTTCATGTTGTACTACATTAAGCTTGTATCAGCTAATTAAGATACCGTTGTGATTCTAATATTAGACTTTCCAGTGGCTTCACCGAGCTAGAATTTCCCAGGCTTACTTATATCTACTTCAGAGGGTAAAAAAATCAGTCGAACGTTTTCCTGCTTGCTGCTGTATTTCAGAGTAGGGTGTGTTGTCTTACAACAAGCTCAGAGCATATTGTAGAATTGTCCAGCAGGAATTGTTGATGGCTATTCTTCTATCTGTGTGGGAGGAAGGCCGTGTTAGGCTTTTGGAGTGTTGCTGTAGGGAGAAAAGGAGTTTATTTCATCATCTGCAGCAGTCTGCCATACAGATGGGAATATCTCACATGAATTGAAAGGCTGCTTTGAACAGATAGCTGTAAATGTTACTGGCATGTGCATCTTTGAGTCTTGGTGTTGTTTATATACAAAGAAAAAAAAAGCCTCAGAAAATTGTTGTGGCTCACTCTCTGGAACTGGAGCAGCCAATGTAACAGAAGCCTGCCGGTTGTACCCAGCAACCAAGATGCAATCAATTTTATTGCAGTTATTTCTGTCTGAAAAGCGAAGGCTCTGGTAACCCTTCTGCATACTAAGATTGACAACACATGAGTAGGAAAAATGCAGTAGGTAGTAGGCTTTGCCTCTGAAAGGTTCTGGGCAGAGTGAAAGTTAGGTCTGGTGTGTTATCAACGAGTGACACAGTTATTTTTTTTTTTAGTGTCTGCACATTTCTTTCCTGGCACCTCTGCTGATCATGGTCTTGAGTGGACTGTGTCTAACGATTGTCAGGTGGAGCTTTTTGTAATGTTTTTCCCATGTCCAAAAATACCTCCCTGAATTGTGACCACACAACTTTTCTTTTAGCGAGGATAGATCATTTGTGTCGTGTTAATCTTAAGTCAACTACATCTTTACGTTGCAAAAAGGCACAATTGCATGAAGTAATGGTCTCGCTGCTTTCCTTACTGGCACGTCATATAAATGCATATAGATACTCTTCAGATAGTTTTATTATAAAGTGGTGATCTTTGAACTGATACTTTTACTTGGTAGCTGCTAACACTTCGAGGCAGTAAATATTTTTTCATGTGTATTTTTAATTGTTTCTGTCGTGTGTCACTTTTTTTTTTAATGTTGATCATAATTACAGTTGGTTGGGCACGGAAGTTTCGTTATCTTAAAGTGTCAGGTTCTGTGTCAGCTTGGCTGTAATGATAAGTTATACAGTATTGAAAGAAGGTTTGTACAGTCCGTGGGCATGTAATTCCTCATGCACAAGTGTTACATGAGTAAAACACTGTTATATTATGCTATAATGTTATGCAACTCTGTAATTTGTAGTGTTTGCTGAAGTGCTCGGATGCTTCTACGTGACAGAAAGCATAGCCTTTAAAGCATGAAATTGGTATTCTTGGTTTTGTGCAGGGTAAACGAGCCTCTCTTTCAAAGAAGAAATATTTGAAATAGTGTGCTCTTCAAGGAAAAACTGCCCCAGGTTTTGGCAAGGAAGTCTGACTTAGAGTGCTAAAAAGTAACAAGAGGGATGGTAACAACTAGACAAAGAAGTAGGTGCGAGTCTTAGGCAACTTGCGAGGTTCTTCACAGGCTTTTTTATACTTAAATACAATTAAGTATACAGCAAGTCCTCTTTTACCACAGAGTTAGCAAAACAAGTACTTGCGAACTCCTGTCAAGCCACCATGTTACTGGCCGCCTTTACTCATATAGTTAATTCTTAATCACTTTCCTGCTTTTCCCCTGGTCTTTTCAGATCCCTGTACTGCAGTGTTGGGGTGTTCCTAAAGTCCTGGCTGGCCTACAGTCCTGCTGCCTTCTCTTCTAGCCCTGCTGTGAGGAAAAGAAAACAGGATGGGTAATGCCCTTCTCGCCACTGACTAGGTAGGGCCTCTGCGCGTTCACACCACTCTAACAACTCCTCATTGCCTCTGCATACCCTCTGAGTTTGGGACACCAAATAACAGATGGGGACAGTGTTTTGAGCAGATAACATGACTGATAACACCTGTTTTCAGGAGTGTAGGTGTAGGGGGGTGTAAGTAGTGCCCTTTTTTTTTTTTCCTGAGCAAAACTTCAAGAATTCTTGCCTTGCTTCAGGTACGTTGTTGCTGTGGCATGCTCGTGGTGTGTCCTCAACTCGTGCATTTATTGCACCTGAATCAATGCAGTTCTTAGTGGTGGTGAAGAGTGCTTCTAAGATTGCAAAAATGTGCTTTAATCTTAGTCATGCTACCTTTTTTCTTGGTGTAAATTAAAAAAGGAAGAAAGAGTAATTTTTCATCACCTGTTGTACAAGAAGTGCTTAGAAGCAGTTGTAATTTTTTTTTCTGTTTATGGATCTCCCTTATTACCAGTATTTTGAGCTTAATAGCCTTATTTATCGTGGATTGTCTGAACTCTGTCCAGTGTCGTTAAAGCAGAGAACAGCGTATTTTGAGAAAATCGAGTTCGCCGACAGCAAACCCCGGCTATTTTTAGGGCCACTGCTTCACAACCTCCCCGCCACGTTTTACACAAGTGTCTTTAGCCACGTGCTGAGGTGACCGTGGCGCTGCGGGGCAGGTTTGAGGCGGCGGTGCCCGGGCCGCGCTCTGCCCCCTCAGCGCCTGGTGGGGCCGGGCCGGGCCGGGCCGGGGCGCGTTGTTCCGAGCTGGGGGGGGGGCAACGGGCGCTGTGAGGTCACGGCGCCCCGCCCCTTCCTCCCGCGTCCCCCCTGCGGCGGGGCCGGCAGCGCTCTCCCCGCCCGCCCGCTGCTGCCCCGCGGGTGCCGGCGGCGGGGGGCGGTCGCCCCGTGCGCGGAGCGGAGCGGAGCGGGGCCGAGGGCGCGGGGCGTGGGGCGGGGGATCGCAGCACGGAGGCGGAGCCGGGCGGCGGCCAGGGGCGGGCAGGGGCCGGCTCCCCCGCCTCGGCTTCCCCGCGGCTGCCCCGCAGCCTTCCCCCGCGGGCCGCCCCCCGCAGCCGGGCCGGGCAGGGCATGGCCGCCGCGCACGTCTCCGCCGCGCCCGCCCAGCGCCGCGGCTGGGGAGCACGGAGCCGGCCCGGCCCCGCGGAAAGCGAGCGCGGGGAGGCCGCGGAGCAGAGCGGCGACTGGCGGCAGCCCCAGCCCGAGCCCGAGCCGGAGGCGGACGAGAGGCGGCGGGCAGCGGCGGCGGCGGTGGAAGCCCCGGCGCCCAAGGAGAACGCGTGGACGAGGCGCAGGGCGGCGCGGGACGGCGGGGACACGGACACGGCCGAGACCGCCGGCCTGCGGGACCCAGGTGCGGCGCCCTGCGAGCGGCCGGGCGGCCCCGGGGCCCTGCTCGCCTCCCCCGGCTGCTGCTCGCCCGGCAGGGCCGGGCCGGGAGAGAGGGAGGGAGCGAGGGAGCGAGCGGTTGCCGCAGGCCGCGGGGCGGGCAACGGGCAGCTGCCGAGCGGCGGCCCCGTGCGGCGGGGCTGGCTCCTGGGAGCTCTGCGGGGTCCTGCGGGCTCGCCTTGTGCGCTTTGGTTCTGTGCTTTCTCTGGGTGCTTGTTCTCTATCGTGCAGCCCCTCTTGGGTCCGCCGCTGGGTTTCGCTTTCCACGCGGTGCGCGTTGCGGAGGCTCGGCGCGGCAGCACATGGAGGGGCTTTGCTGGCGCTGAGGATTCAAAGCGCTTATGGGGAGCGAGGGTAGCCAGGGTGTAATTTTCTGGTGGCCTTTAATCACCGCCACATGTGAGGTAAAGCTGCTTGAGAGGCTCCGCACCGACTAAGCAGGCAGATCGCAGACCTGACTTGAAATTGCCGGGCTCTGTGCTTAGGCCACTGCAGCGTTCCTCGAAGTTAGCAGCTTCTTGGAGTATTGTTCTTGGCTAGAAGCAAGCCGGCAACCTCAAAACCCATGCTTCAGCATGTGTTTCCCGAGAATCTCGGTCTCTGCACTTGCTCCTGAAGGCACCTGACAAACCTTCCTGTGTTCCGACAGTGGCTTTTATCCTTAAATTAACCGTGTGCTTCCTTCACAAAGAGAAGTATAGCCTTTTATGGTTTCAAGCATGCAGATCATGCAAGCAGACAAAAGGGTTCTCCAGACCACAGGTTCTTTATTTAGCCAAAGATCAAACCTTTTGGCAACACGTACAGTCACCTTTATCATCTTGACTGTTTTGTTTGTGTGTACTGACGCGCTCATAAATACCGACTTACGCGTAGCTTCTACAATCCAGCTTGCCGGGCAGCAGCTTGCAGTCTTGTCCATACATGAAAGAGAGCTTGTCACTCCTTTGGGTTGCTGGGGCAGTAACAATAATAATACACCAGAAGCTTTTTTTGTTATATTAACACCTTGTGGTCCTGCTCAGGCCTCAGCTGAAGACGCTGCTTTTTCTGCAGAGTTTACTACCCAATTTAAGACAAAACACAAAAATAATTATTGAAGAAAGAAGAAGGGAGCAGCAGTGAGTTTATATGCTGCGTACACTATATGCTTATTTTCAGAGAGCTTTAATTATTTTTCAAGTGTACAAAAGTTGTGCTTGCTGTTTATGAAATTAACACCTAATTGAGCAGTTGCACTGGAATACCTTTTTCAGTGGTAAGTGTATAATTTAGCAAATTTAGGAGTGGCTGTTGGTTGTAAAGGTGCTGGTAATGGCATCAGTGAAAAAGACACATCGAGCTGTACATTTTGGTTCAGCCAAATGCTCGTTCCTCAGGGGAGAATAAGCAGCCGATCTGTCCTGGCTGTCGGAGGGCAGGAATGACCACGTGCCTCCACCTCCAGCAGGAGACGTATTTTCAAGCAACTAATTGCACGTTGGCAAAGCAAAATCAGTCGCGTTAGGCCCTTATGAGCGTAGTAGTATGGAAATTAGTCATGTGAAATAATAAGTAGATGAGCAGAAATACTACTGGGATGGAATGTAAAACTGTCCATAAAGGGGGTAATAAAATGGGAAAGAATCTCACATCAAAGTAGCGACCGAATCCTGTTTGACTTGTTGATCTTGGCTTAATTTGTTGAAACTTTCCTGACACATGCAAGCGCAGTGTGCTTGGTGATAGCTGCGCTCCTGGGAAGGTCGCTTCCAGGCAGTCCCCTTCGGACTGCCGATACGCTGCGACAGCTACCTGTACCAGGGCAGAGCTGCCTCTTCCTTGTGACACCAGCTGCTAAAGTCACCTGAAAGCAAAAAGTATTGGTAAAAGCTTAAAATCCTTCCTCACCGAAAGAATTCTGTCCAAGCATTGTTACTGCCACCTTTTATTTTTTGGTCTCGGCTGTGTAAGTAGGTTTTGATAACGTCACAGCAAACCAACCACGTCGTGTAAACATACTTGATTTTTTTTTTTTTTTATGGTGAGTTTGTTGACACAGTTCTGTGTTTTGGGATAAGCCCTTTATTAAACTCCTAAACAGAATAATTTCAGAATTATACGGGTGCTTCTACCAGTCTCCATTTAATTCATGGAGAAAGTCTGGTAGCAGTATGCAATTGCTAGTGAAATTAATAGGCTTCTGTCTTATCCTGGAGACCTTGAGCACAGGCAGCTAGCTTCAGCAATGGCTGTCAGATGATTAAAGGCAGCACTTGCAGCCTGCTTTCCTTCCCCACCTTCCCCTGTATGCTGAGCTTTGTATATTTCTCTGAGTCTTCACTTCAAGTTGAAACTCGACAACGAGGAGAGGAATGGTTGCGAGGAAGGAGTCCTATGTAATCTTGTAGATAATCATTTTTTTTTTACAAGTTAACAAGATAAGTTTTGTTTTAAATGGAGCCAGGGAAATACGTCCCTACCAAAGCCCTGTAACAACCCACAATTATTCCTGTTTTCCTCGTCTTCTCTTTGAGTCTTGTTTTACCTCAGCCAGCCCTCAGAGCAGGCCTTTGGCAGAAGTCAGTTACCTTTCCTTCATGCGTGTCCGGCATGGAGTTGGTGAAATCATTTCACTCAAAAGTTCTTCCTCCTCTTTGAGGAAATGCCGCCCTTTCAAGGGCGCCCTATGCAAGCAGGACCCCAAAGGACAAGTTCTTTAGCCTTCATGTGATTTGTGTAGCTGATGTTGGCCTCTAATGAGGCATCAGACAATTATTCAAAAATGGGTCGTGAAACTTATGAAAGTATTTCATGAAGCAAAATACATACCTGTGGTTTTAAGCAGTGAAAGTAGCTGTGGTTCCCAGTGTGCTCTGATGCAGCCAAAGTAGCTGCATGTTCCAGTCTCTTACATTGTGCTTGGTTTGTCCTTCCTCACTGCGTTGATTTCGGGACATCAGAGAGCACCCTTCATCTGGCTGGGATTTTGGTTCCAGAAGTTCAGTGTGGTGTTGTTGAGTAACTGGATTTGCTTCACTCTATTAATAAACGGGTTGTAAAAGCACAGTTTAGTGGAGGGGTACTGTATTATTAGGAATAACGAGTTTAAAATTTTGATTAGTAAATCGGTAAATGATTGGTAAATTGGTAAATGATTTGGTTATCAAATTTTTGGTGTATCTAATACAGGCACATCGGTAGTTGTCAGGAATTCGCTGTGTGTTTGTTTAGTAACTTTATTATTTTAAAAATCGTCAGAAGGCACAACTTTGCTGTCCCAAGCCTGAAGGGATTAAAGGCGTTCTCTTTCCAAATAGGCTGTCTGTTTTTATAGACCTATAGCAGTGTATGGAACACAGAATATGGAAGTTTGTATGGAAGATTTTCTGGTTTCTGAACTGGAAATCTGTTAGGAGAGAGAAACACATCTTGCTGCCCAGAGTCCCAGACGTGACCCTGGCTTGCTGTGCTCTAGCACGTGCTCCTTTTTGACCACAAAACCTTTTGTAGAAATTGAGCCACAGGTTGCAGCTTTCTATGAAGAAGCTAAGAACAAAATAGGATTAGAAGCAAAGCACAAGAAAAATAAAGAGTGTAATGATTAATCAGTCATGTGTTGGGGACTTTTTTTTTCCTATTGATTGTTCAGTGCTTGTTCCATTGGAAAAGTTTCTTATTATAAACATGTGGAGACCTGCTGCTGAAATAGTTCTCCACCTTGGTTAGTTGTTCAAATTGTGCAAAGAAGTCAACTATTGTAGGAAAGGATGTTACCATAGGTTACTTTTTTTTTTTTTTTTTTTTAATTTCTCAGAATCTGAGATCATAAATCCATGCTCTAGATTTAAACTGTCCTGTACTCCAAGGGATTGTGTTGTCATATTTGCAAGACTGTTACATTTGTTTGTTAAAGTAACAGATTGAAGCATAGCTACCTTGTCTATAAACCGGAATACAACTGGGTGGAAAATGTTCTACAACTTCAACAAACAAGTTCCACTGAAATTTTGAAGAGCTATTCTGCTTCTTGATTGCACCACCTCACCCGCCTCCTGAAGGTTTTCTGGTGTTTATGATAGGGTGTTCCTTTGCTGAGGAGAATGCACGTGCTAAGTAAAAGTAACACTTGAAAGTTGTCTAGAAATCATAAAACACGTTTGTATCAAAAGTGGGGTGTGTTGTACCTTTTATTATAGGAGGCATCACTTTCAGAAAAGGTTGGCAGTATCTCCCCTGTTCTCCCATCAGAAAAAAAAAAAAGCCTGACTGGTTATTTCCAGAACTTGAAAACATCCGTTTTGAAATGAAGTATTGAATGGAGTACTCTGAAGCAGTATTATTGAGAAGGTAATTTGTCATGTGCTCGGCAGGACTTTGGTGATGCATTTTTATGTGCAAACTTTGCTTCTCCATCTCTGCACAGCATTTAGTCCCACCTTCCCATTTCTGCTGCTGAGGACTGCTGCCTTTTTGGTGGTTCCTAGATTCATCTTTCATTTTTAATAGCTGCATAATAACTGAAGTACTGCAGTTGGCATGTTTGCATATCCATGTCTTTTTGCAGAAAATACCTTGTGTTAGGGTGTGGTGTGTTAAGAGGCTTGGAAGAACCACTATGAGAAAATGGTTTTGAAAGGTGATTTTGGTTTTGGTGTGGATGGCATCTTCACTAGAGTTCAGTGATTGAAGGGTGATCACGAGCAATTAAACTTGCTCATCCTTGATTATTTTTTTTTTGTTTTTATTTCCCCCACCCCTTTAAAGTTCAACTAAAACCCAGCAAGTGAAGTAGCTGAAGACAGCTGAATTCTTTCATCAACACAGCTTGCTCTTCCTGAGCTGGTTACCTTGTCTCCTATGACCGAATAAACCATTTAAATACAGTTAGGCTGCAGCTAACAGCAAGTGAAATAGTTTATTTACAGGGGCTTGTTGGATTGTGCTGTGGCAATAAGCTGAAGATCCTGTTTCTGCTATTCAGCACTGCTATGTGATGCTGAAACCGAAGGCCGGGCTAATGTTAGGCATGGAGCTTTTATTTAAGTGCACTCCAGAGGAAGTTTTGCCTGCACAGTGGCTGGAGTCTCTGTCATAACAGCATAACAGACTGGATCAGGGAGGAAACATTTAAGTGATGTGGTGTTTTATTCTTTTACTCTCACCCTCATTCCCTCCGACCCCTTATCTCTCCTTTTGTGCTTCTCACTAAAATCCAACTCCTACACGACGAGTGCCAGAAAGCCAGTCAGGAAAGGTCAGTTAATCTTGGATTTGAACATGACTCTTACGGAAGGCCAGAAACTTTGAGGAGTTGCTTGTTAGGGAAGTCTGGCATGTGGCGGGATCAGTGTTCGGAAAGGGCACTGTCAGCCTGACGGTGTTGTTGCTTCATAGTAATTTTCTTTTCACTGAGCGTGCAAATGCATCTTGTAAGTCTTAGGTTACTACATCCTTGACTTAGATAAGAGAGATTATTGAAAAACAAGTTGGGTCTCATTCTGCTTGGTTCAGATAGCCTCTGCTGCTGTCTGGAATAATATCTCCTGACTAAGATAGCGCACTGATGTTGAGTTGTCTTTTTTAATTCCTTGCTACACCCTGGTGACACACGGAGTAGAACTTCTGGCAGAGCAGTCCTTCAGTAGCAATTTAAGTAAAATTGCTGTGAGATGGAAAAAGAGCTTTAGGAAGTTAATCGAACAGTAGAGAGAGAAATTTCCATGATGCTCCATGACTACAGCTGTTTTGCCTTATTTTATAGTGGCACTTAGTTTACTATTGAGTGATAAGTTAGAATTAGGATGATACAGTCACTGTGTGTCTAGAAAACTGGAAGCTCTTCATCTAAAGTCAGTTGAGACTGCACAACAAGCAGGAAGCATTTGGGGGAATTGTTTTGTCTCTGTTTTAAAAAGCAAATCTTTAGGGGTCCATTTGGTGTGGAGAAACTGCTGGTGACCAATGGGGCAAAACTCTCCCTTTGATCAGGGTGCTGGATTCAGGTGAATTGTACCTAGCTGTAGTAACAGAGTTGAGAGTGCCGCATGGAGCAGACGTGAACTTGTGCTTATAGCACTCACGGCATATTCCAGGAAGAGGACTGAGCGAGTTTTCAGAGTCACTGTGGGGTATGAGGGTGGGGTTCCCAGTGTGAAGCTGCGATAAGGAAGATCAGTGAAGTCGCTGGATGCGAGAGAGATAAGGGTTAAGGAGGTGATGTTATCTTCCTATGAAATAATAATCTCCTAGCGATTTCAGTCATGCTCAGTGTTACAAGCTTGGCTTTCGGTAAAAGACTGAATAAGACTTTTCAAGGAAAGGATGTAACCACTTCTCTATTGGAAAACGTGCCTAGTTCTGTTCTTACTATCGTGGGAGAAACTGAACGGTGGTTTCATCTGTCTGAATTAATCTCCCAAGAAAAGTTACCTGAGAAAAGTTACCATTTTTTCCCTGAATTCCCAGCAAAAGTTGGAACATAATTAAATGGGTAGAAAAATAAGGAAACTGGATTTGCGTACAGAATGGAAAATTGCACATGCATTAAAGGATATAGTGCATTTAGACATTTTTTTTTGCACATGTAACTCACTGGTCCTAGCTAATTAGGCCCAGTAGTGTTGATATGTGTGTGAGAGAGTTCTTAGCAAGCATTATGTTAAATCCTTGTGGATACTACAGGTTGAATTAAAGGCAGCTCTGTTCAGGAGGAGAATCACTATTATGAAGTTTAGGTCTTGGCTCAGGAAGGTTCTGAAAATGTGCAAGTATAAACTTTCTTGCAATTGCTTGTATTTTGTTGTAAACAGTTCTTGTAGCTTGTGGAATCTAAGCATTAAAATGTATTATCTTTAAGGTATTTTTATAGTCTTTTTTTTTTTTTTATACCATATTTCCTTTTAATGTTTTCCATTCCTTTGGCTTGATTACGAGCAATTTGGCTAAATTCTTTAGCATTTGCCTGTTTGTTAATAAGTGGAAATCACTAGGAATTCGTCAATATGTAATTGCTTCTAGTTTTTTTCATGCTCACATAATGGTAGATTTCATAAATGAATCATGTTCTAAATTTACCTTCTAATAGGGTATTTTTTTATGTTTTGGGCTTCACTTTCTTTGCTAATACTTAGGTTAAAATAACAGTGTTTTGAGACAATCTTGGCATTATAGTTCAAGAAATGCTTAAATACTGTGCTACACTATATTCTATACACCTGTTTTTCAGGATTAGTTAGACTTCTGAGTGCGAGTTTTTTCAATGTCATGTACTATTTTATGGAAATATTCTTGCAATAATTATGTTCATGAATGATCATTGGCTTCAATACCAAAACCACCAAGAAAAAAAAGAAAATAAAAGTCCATTTAGCATACCATTTAGCATACCAGGTATTTGCAAGCTGTTAAGGTATACTGCATGCTTTTAAGTGCAACCTAATTCTTCACCTGAAAATATTTTTCTTCCTTTTCAGAACTAGAAAATTCCACGAAAGTTATAAAGGCAGCAAAACCCAGGACAAGGAAATACAGCAAGGTTTGTATTTGGCAGAAGAACGTTTAGCTTTGAGTTATTGGACTGATTGTGTTAGAAGTTGCAGTTAATCTAACCTGTTTATCTTAACAGGTTAACATTTAGCTCTGCTGATAATATGGTAGGAAAATGAAATCATTTCAGAGAAGTATTTCTGGTTGTAAATATTCACTATGATAAATAGCTATTGTTACTTTAAAAAAAAAAAAAAAAAAAGCAAGGTATTTTGAAGTTACAACCATAAGTGTTATGTTCTGCCTCAGTTAATTTTTGAAGACTGAGTAAAGTCAGAAAAGGACAGGAAATTTAAAATTAGAAGGAAAGCTGAGGTGGTATATATTCAAGGGGATACAGAAAGGCACTCTTGTTTTAGAAAAAAAAAAAGTGATGGGATTATATGAAATGGAAGTGACTTCAGTGAAACAACACCACTTGAGCACAAGAGATGATAGGTTGGTATCAGAAATCCTATCTGTGTGTTATGTTAGTGATGAGCATGCTTTATGGTCTGTTACAAATTCATTGTAATGGGAAACATTGAACCCTTCTACTGAAAAAATAAGAAAAAATACAGTTACACTTTCTTAGGCTGTGAAAACACAGTGTTCAAAGGTCTTCCAAAAGCTAAAAAGCTTTTACAGTGGTGGATGCCTTTAAATTGTGTAGGGAGGTGTGTATAAGACAACATTTAATCTGAACATTGTTTTCTGTGTACTTAAGTCTTAATCTCTGTTAGTTTGTTTTAATAATAGAATGAAGAAAGCTTTGCTTGCTGGGCATCTGTATTTGGCCATGCCCACTTAATACATTCTTAATGAAGGCATTTGTTAGACAGCTGTTAGTACAAGATAGGTAAGATGTATTGTACCGTGATCTGAATGTAACTGCAATGATTGGTTGTTTCTACAGTTGAACATATTCTGTTTTAAAAAGCTGCTTGTTTTCTGCTGTATTTCTCAATTTTTTAAGAATTGCTGTTTCTGGCAATTTTGTTCAAAGGTATAGTCTTCCCATCTGAGTTACGACAGACATCTTCCATGTGTTAAAAAGGAATAAACTGAAGAAGTAGTATAACCTGTGTATTGTCTTTGCAGACTGGTGACTTCGGTGATATCACAAACTGGCCAACACCAAGTGAAATAGCAAATAATGAAGTGAGTATTCTTTCTTATCCCCGTTATTGTTTTATTAAAAATCACGTTGGCTGCTGTGATTAATATTGTTTCCCTCAGAATGTACTTTGGGTGTTCTCAGGTTTCAGCAGAAGTGTTGTCAATAATTCTGGTCTGTGCTTGACTCTCTGTATTGGTATGAGAATTTCTGAATCCTTCACAAGCCCATGCACACACACATTCTTCTTAGCTTAACTGGTGTGTGTAGACATGTAAATAAAAATGGTGCCGTATTTACTCCACCATTTTCAAGCTTCTATATCCATTTTCCACTCCTTTGGAAGTTTGTGAACAGACAAGAAAGAAGGCCAGTATGTAATCTTCGGGACTGTGTAGATGGTGTGTTCCCTTGTGCCTGGCATGCTTTGTGCAAAGTTGCCTTGGGAGTTATCAGAGGAGTGGGGATGGAGTAAGGATGTATTTTCCTTTTGACTGTCCTTAGCATCAATTCTATCAAATTTTTACTTTTATCTCAAGTGGTAAGTATATAACATATCTGGGACCTCTTTTATGCTGTATTATTTGAAACAATGACGTATAGATTATTCTAAGCTATGTGATACCATTTTTGGTCTTTGCTTTAGTTCTAGCATCATCCTTGTGATGCTAGACTGTTTTCTTAGTGAGGGAAACCAGAAGATTTGTTCATTTGTCCTGTGGGCTTAGTATCTAACATCTTCCCTCTCCCCCAGTTGAGTAAGTTACACCTTGTTGTCGTATCAGCAACAAAACATCCGCAGGTGTCTAACAAGGCCTTTCATGTTGCAGGTCAAAATTCTAGATGTCTGTAGATTTGTCACAGCAGTACATTTTCTTCTAGGTAGAATTTGCTGCTTCTGGTATCTTGTTCTACAGGATCTCAGAGAAGATCTTTGAAACTGTTAGAAGAATCTTCAAAATCTGAATAGATTATATTAAAATAAATTAACGGTCATTCAGTTACTGAAATGCCAGTTAAAATATTGTAGTGTGTGTATATACCCCATGGAGGTTTAGGATTTGTGTAAGAGCCTCAAATTGATTTTTCTTTAGTATTTGTAAGCTCTTCCATCACCAATATTTCTGTCAATTGTTGAGATGTTTTAACTGCCACGGCTCACAGGAAGACAGTGGGTGATACAATATCATAAGGGATAACTTATATTCTCTATATCATAACAATATCATAAGGGATACATTATATTCTCTACTCGTAATATTCCAGTCCTCACAGAAGGAGAGGATCAAGCCTAGCTCTGACAGATTGAGTAGCATTGAAAGAATTACATTTTATATCCTTTTAATAATATTTTTAAATGCTAATGTTGATTTATGACCAAGTCTAGAATATGCTTATTTTAGCATATGTTTTTTTTTTTTTGAGGGTGGGAGATATTTAATTTGGTGACTTAGAAAAACATGTACCCATGTCTTCATGCTGGCTGTAATACCACAGTGCTTTAATGTCTACATGGTTGTGTAAAATTTGGATATGATAAATAACATCTGCACAGTACTAACCAGAGTGGCTGAGATCAATGTATTAATCGTGTTGCAAAATAATATACTTATTTGATGTTTTCTGAAATAGTCTGCTTTAAGAGTATTTTTAATGATCTTTTGCTTTACCAGATGGTCTAGATTGTATTGCATAGATGTTAATTAACCTCTTGCTGACTTGGATGTGTGAGAATTTAATCACAGATATTCATGTAGTGTCTGTTAAACCAAGTAACGTTTATTTTGTACTTAAATCAGTTGATTTGTCTAAGGGAAGGTTTTGTAGTCAAATTAATTGCGGGATATGGGATAGTACCACAGTATCTACTATATGTATTCCAGCAAGTTCAAAGCAGTCTCCACAACATAAGCGAATTCTTTTTGTTTGGCAAAAATGTTTGTGAAATTTAATTTTGCTGTTTCCTGCAAAAATGAAGTTTTACACTATTTGCTGAAAGGCTGTTTATTTTGCCTTTCTTTGAAACCTGCTATTTTATGGGATTTCCAAGAAGTGATGATCTGCACTACGCTGGCACTATTCAGAGGCAAACAGGTCCCAGTAAATGACGTATTCTGATGTGGAGAAAAAGAACTAGTCATACACTTCCACATCCTCTAGTCTTTGGTTTATGTTCTGATTTAATGAAACATAATCAGCAGAGTTAAGAAGCTTAGGTTGGATATTAGGAGATTTTTATTTTTTATTTTTTTACTGGAAGGATTGTGTGACATTGGAATAGGTTGCCCAGTGTCAACTATAAAGTGGTTGAGTCACCATCCCTGGAGGTCTTCAAGAAACATGTAGATGTAGAACTCAGCATGGATTAGTGGTGGACTTTAGTACTAAGTCAGGAGTTGGACCATATGATCTCAGAGGTCTTTTCCAACCTGAACAATTCCATGATTCTAAGAACCGTGGCTCCTTATAGTTTACATGGACACTTGGCATGCTTTTGGGATTGGTAAATCAGAAGGTCACATAGGCAATACATTCAATATTCTGTAAGAACAGCTTTTTAAAGATAATCAGTCTGAACAGTAAGTACTAGTAAAGTAGTGTTTCTTTCTTTCCTATGAGATGAATGTCAGTTTTGAGGCAGGGAAACATGATTGTTGTGCATTCCACAATTCTACATCTTCAGTTTAAAAACCAAAACAATACTTCTATCCATCTAAATTCTTGTTTATAGTCTTTCCAGACTAGCAGAAAATACAGCTATGTAAAATGAGACTCTGCAAAACAACACCGTTGTTAAAACTCACCCTCCTGAAGATATTGGGAACAGCTAATAGTAAAGGAATTTCAATACGTAAAGGAAACTTGCATGTTTTGCTATTGGTGGCTGTACTGTCAGAAATAATTACCAGTATCTTTTGCAGTGTAAGACTGTAAGTCACAACAAGAAGCCAACAAATAGAAAAGACAAGGAGGAGAAATCTGATCAAAAAGGCAATAATGGAACCAAGGACAACCTGGAGGCAAAGCCAGAAGTTCCAGGAGATAACATCAGCGAAGATGAAAGTCAAACTAATAATCAAAGGAAAAAAGGTTGGTCTAGGTGCTACATGTAAAGCAATAATTCATCTTTGATACAGTTACATTAATTCTAGTTTAATGACTTGAAACTTCGTTTTTCAATTTCCAGGTGATAACAGGTTATATTGTGTTATACATGTGTTAGGAAGCTTAAAACAAGCCTTCTTTTTCAGGTTTTGGAGTGTCCTGTTTAGTTAAGTAGTAATTCTGGGTTCAGTTCATCTCTTACAGATGTGAGAAGCTCTGACAGAGAATCTCCAGAATACCATGTTCTCATTCCATTATGGTGTCTCACATCTTTATCTACTGAGTAGACAGAACTGTGTTCGTATAACTTCATACATATACGTATATGTATGCATATGTATGCATATGCATACTATGCATCTTACTTTAATTTTCGTATTTTGCTATTAGAAAAGATTGCTGGAGAATTAAACCAGGTTAGTCATTTCCCCTTGATCCAATCTACTACATAAAAAATAAGAAACAAACCTCAGTTTGTCTTGGTCAGTAAACTTGAGTGGGGCCAAGGACAGAACTGAGGTAGTTGTATATTTCTGCCATCAGATGCTTTATTTCTTGATTCCCTGCTGGAATATTTTCAGATCCTAAATACCTTTGTTGATTAGATTTGTTAATCTTGCAAAGTATGTATTTTAAAAAAAATGCCATAGTGCTTTTAATTATTTCAGTCTATGTGAAAATTTAAAGCAAAGCATTTCACAAGTACAAACCGTGTTTTTCCCCAGTGTGGATTATGCATGTTATGTGTTTGCTTATGTTTCCTGGCTACAAAGATATGAAGCCATGATACCAATCAAGTGTAGAACAGCAAATATTATCACTAAGTAAATAGTTAGTGGATATTTTAGGCCAGCCTTCAAAACAATATGGTTTTGCTAATCATTTTTGATGCCCATTCATGAATTTAATCTGAATATCTTGATGTAAAAATACTGAGCCACAGCTAAATTCTCAGGAAAATTTTTACAGCTGGTGATTGAAATCTTTATTTCAGTGCTTAGGTTGGTGATTGAAATCTTTATTTCAGTGCTTAACTTGATACGCTAATTTTTACCTTATGTTTCATATGCAAATTGTGAAATTATACAGTCATGAATTTATTGTACGTGTATTTGATGCTTAGTCGTACTTGTAGCTGTAAATTCTTGGTAATGGAGCTTACATCTAAAAGTTCGTTAATAAAATATAAACTCACTTTCATTTTCTTTGCTTAAAGTAAGTTTACCTTTCAGCTTGAGAAGTTGTTTACTGCATTTATTATTTTTAGTCATTATGTCCTAAAAATACAATGCTTTTCCTATTTCTTAAACATTGAAACTAACTGTTATTAGTAGTTTTACAAGAAGAATTATATAGGATCTGGAACAGGACCTGAAACTTTAATCGGTACTATAACTAAGACTAAAATATTAACTTCTCAAGGTAACAAGCAGAAATGGCTGCCACTTCACTTGGATGATGTACGGTCAGATAGTCAAGAAAGACCAGGCTCTCGAAGTAGCTCAAGATCTCAGCTGGAAACAAACAAGTTAATACCTCATAACAACAGACGGAATGAGACAAGAAGTAAGTAGTTTTCAATCTCTTTGGTTTGTAGCAAATGAGGGAGTGAGACACATTGGAAGTGCTATGCTGCTCTTTTTTTTTTCCCTCTCTGATGGATAATATCACGAGAGTAGGTGTTAGATTTGCAGCTTATGTTGAAACTTGACTTTGCTAGTACTTAAACAAATCAACAAAAACCACAAAACCCCTACTCTTAATATTTGCCAATAATGTTTAAAAACAAATAAATTGCAGTGTAGTTTGATGTTTGAATTTTAAGTTAGAAAGTTTTGTTTAAAACTCACTGTTAATTTCTTAAACCTCTTTGCATATTCATCAGAATTGCAATGTCTCAGTCGTTGACTCTGCTGAGTACAAGAGCTTGGAAACAGCATTTTTACAGTATATGCTGGTGCAGTGTCATATATTTTTATCCTTGTGTCTAACTACTAAGTCTTGGGCCACAGTTTCACAATGCAGAAAGTCTGATAATATTTTCATAATGTGGCTGTTCTGTCCTGCTCTATTCCTGTTCCAACAGCTTGTTGCTGCCAGAGCAATTACTTATTGAATTACCCTTTGAATTCTGCTTTGGCAGTTCTTCTGATACCATTTTGTCCTTTAAGTTGGACCACTTCCACAACCTATTTCTCAGCATGGCCGTGCAAAAAGCTGTATGAGCGCACAACAGAGGGGATGAAGCATCATAGCTGGTACTGCCTCTGATCTTCAGGTGTTCTGAACATTGCTTATCAGAAGGCAGATATCTTAGTCACACTCTTAATTCTTTGGTTTGTATATTTGCAATTAAGTTTAGAATCACAGTGTACATTAATAATTTAATGTTTTGCTCATTCATGATAAATGCTGGATGCTATTGAGATGAGATTCGTTTATGGAGTCATTTTAGGAGCATTGATACAAGGGTGTGATCCGGATGTCTGAGGAATGGAAGGGGGCAGAGGGAGGATTTTTATTAGTGTATTGCTTTTCTCCAGCAATTATTTCTCAGGAACTGCATGGTCAAATGAGCAGAAACTTGTAGCATAAATTCTGTCTCAAGTTTCTAGTCATTTAAGACCAGTTTCAGTGTGAGAGAACATAAAATGTCCCCCGTTCTTTGGGAACATTGTCTATATGCATTAAAGCAAAGGAAAAAAGTGCTTAGGCTTAAATACAGCGTTAGCTCTTGAAAGTGTTTTGCAGGACTTTTGCACACATCTAGGAGACACAGGGACACTCAATGCAAAAATGAAATTGATTTGGGGAAATACTTCAAACAGTGCCACATTTAGAATCTCCAAGGTTGAGGGTAGTGAGCTCAGAGGCTGGGGTCCAAATTCTCAATGAGGGGCACATGCAGATTATGATATTCCTAAATTCAGAGTCATACTTGACATAGAGCAACTTGAATGTACAAGCATACGTATGTTGTTGCAGGCTTCCTTAGAAATAGTTACTAGTAAAATAGGATTCCTAATAACAAAAAAATAAAGATACAATTTTATTGTTCAAGTTAGCACCTCTCAATTTCATCAGATAGCGTCTGTGTCCCCAGCTGTTCCTCTGACAGTGGGTTCCCCCTGAATCTGGAAGATTAGCCAATTACAATTTAAATATACTTACAGCAAGGTTGACCGGATAAAGATAGAAGTCCCAAAGACTGTTAGAAAAAAAGAAAGAAAGGATGTGAGGGTGTGTGTGAGGGCTTCACTTCCTCATATGAGCCAGGTGAGGAGAACTGTAGCCATCCTGTGGTGAGTGGAGTCAAAGCCTGGTGTCTGCGTGGACCTGCTTGCTTTCCTTCCTTTCTTCTCTGTTTCCACTCCCCCGCCAAAACCCACGTATTTATTAATGAAACACTTACACTGATTATTACAGAGCCATCTTAGATTTGCATGTGTTAATAAAAACACAAAACCAAAATTTCTTTAAGGTAGAAGCTCTGTCTGGGGGCAAGCGTAGAGAATAAAGATTGCTGTTAAAAAGGCTGAGTCAGGGGAGTGGCAGATGGCTGCTTCTGGGAACAAAAGGGAGGTTCCCCCTTGGAAATCCTCCCCAGAGCAGGATTATCAAGAGCTAGCAGCTCTTTGTAGCTTGCCCTAAGTGCTGGGAGTTGTCTACAGCAGCATTATCGTGCCTGGAAGGAGAATTGCATGATCACACATTCCTATCCCATGCCCATCATAGGTATTGTGATCCCTGAGCTGGCATGAGAGCGTCCAGTTGCTTCAGAAGCATTTGAGGTTGACTGCCAGACAAGCTCATTTGCTCTTTATTGCTAGCAGCAGCTCCTGCCCACTCACCCTTAGGCATTGCTATGCAAACCTTCCTCTTTAACCCTTGAAGCTTCAGATCTGACCTTCTGCTTCCAGCCGGCATGGCTGAGTCTTGGCAGGTTGCCTGGGCATAAGCTGGGAGCTCTGTGTTGACACCAATTGTGTATTCTGTAGTGTCATTTCCTTCAGCCCTTCTGAGCATCCAGAAGGTAGTGAGGGACACTTCTCAGTGCAATGTTTTGTGTTAATAGGAATAAATCACAGACTACTTGATTATACCATGATGTTTAATTATGGTTGTGTTATGCTTTTTCCTTTCAAAGATTGGCGTCGTGATAGAGAAAGGAGAGACGATCACGATGAAGTGTGCAGCGTGAGAAGTGAGGGTGGCAGCGTTCGAGGATTCTCCAGAGGCAGAGGAAGAGGTAGAGGCAGAGGAAGAGGACGAGGCAGAGGAAACCCTAGAAGTATGCAAAAAAATAAATGCTTAGCAGACGTTTTAAAACTACGCTTATAATATTAATGCTTTCATGTGAAGTTAGTGTGGTTGTGAAACATATTTTGTAGCTTAATCTAGTTAAGTAGCTTGAGTAGGTTTTTTGTTTGTTTTAAATCAGGTGTTGGAAGCAAATCACAAAGTAGCGCTGTGTGTCATGTTTGTGTCTTAAGATGTCTGTGTACCGACCTTAATAATTTTCATCTTTTCTCCTTTCTCCTTTATTTTGAAGTGAACGTTGAATATTACTCAACTGGTTATCAAGAACTGTATGGTGAAAGAACTGACCAAGCATTTCAACCTGAGCTTAATGCTAGTATGATGTATTACTACGATGATGGAACAGGAGTGCAGATGTATTCTGTGGATGAAACGCTTCTCAAAGAATATATAAAACGTCAAATGTACGTAGATTGTTTAAAGTACAAACATTTTTAGAGATCAATTTAAGATGAGGATTAAACGCTTTGAAGTGAGTTATCATCCATAAAATGGTGCAGATGAAGACTTTTCCAATTTCTTTTTGATCTGATGGTTAGCAGTGTCTGTTAGAACTTATTCACGAGCGGGGTGGAAAAGCTTGAGTGACGGGGAGGAATTTTAAGGAAGCTGTTTTGCATCTTGTGCTGTAGCGTGCTCTAATTCATATACCTTCTTGATTTATGGTAAATAGCACTATTTTTATGTTGTCATGTAATTGAGTTACGATGTCTCTGAGCTCGTGTTTTTGAGTACTGTTGGTCTGTTTGCCTATAAAGCTCTTCTTGGGCGATGTAGCTAGAATTTCCCCTTATTTGCTCTCAATTTCATTTTGAGAAGTCTTGTTAGTTTTATGTTCTCAGAGTGTTTCACTTGAAACATTCAACTGAAAGAGAAGTTTTGCAATGATACTTGATTTTTCAATAATCTGAAATGTTTACTTTCTCGTGTACACCATTAGGAATGAGAAACCATCTGGAAGACTGATTATCACCAGGAGACATGTCAAAAAGGGCCTGGAAACCACTAGTTCATTTTAAAGAGACAGTTTCCACCACTGGCTGATATTTCATCTTCTGTACTTGGCAACGGCATTTCTCTGTGATGCCTTTGTGGTGGTTTTTTATTGCCCTTGTATCCCATAAAGCAACTTGCTTATTTTATTCTTGCTTCTTTTGTTACAGTTGACGCAAAAAGGAAGAAAAAGGCCTCTTTAAGGGCAGAAAGTATCTGGCATGTGGCTATCAACTTCAAAGCTTCTATTGCAGTCTTTTTTGTTACTCTTGCTGCCAGGCCCTTATGAGACCTGACAGTGGACATGTACCCCCATGTCAGGATAATCGGCCTCCACTGTCCTCAGACAAGTGAGGGAGGAGCACAGACACTCCACTGTTGGCCAGATTTCTGGGCATGCAGTGTAGAATCCAGACCTTCTAAGGTAGGACATGGTGATGTCCCCCTCTGCTGAGAAAAATGTCAGTTACAGCATTGGTCACACCTGACTTCTGGTTATATTTGTGTTTTATTTTAGCAAAAAGAGGTTGGCAGGTGTCCATGAAAGACTTGGCATGGCTGGCTAACTAAAGCCATCAGTTGCTTGTCTGGTTAAAAACTCCTAAGGCACTTTGGTTATGGAGTTAACTTCTCATGACAGAGAGAGAGATTCTTGTGCAGGTTTAGAGTGTAGCTTCACTGTTTTCATGCTCCTTTAAAAAAAAAAAAAAAAAAAAAAGTGTTTTTGTTGTCCATTTCTTGTATCACAAAAGCAATGGGAAGCTGACTGTATTCATCAGTTGCATATTATTAGCCTCTTGATGGAGGTGGTTTGGTCTGTCTTTTGTAACTGAGTTCTAAAATATTGAAGTGACTATGCCAAAGAAGGAAGTATAACAAAGTAATGCTACCCGGAATTGTTAGGTGTTGGAGTTCCTAATGGAGTCCAAGATAAGTGAGGGTATATCAAAGGAGTGAGAATGTTTTCAGTAGCTTATTGCTGAATTTTAGAAGTGTTTACCTGCTTAACAGGGAAAAATGTTAGAAACTGTGTCCAGCTGAGTTGATTTTTAATTACTGTAAGAAGTACACTCCTATCAGGAAGTTTATGCTTGTCCCAAGAACCAGCTTGATGTGCAAGAGGAATATTTATACTACATATACAATATCATTAAAAATTTTAATTATAGACTGAAATAGCCTGAAAAATTCAGTGCCTAACAACTCCTCAGTCTGCAACCTACAGTAGATCTCTGTTCAAGGCCTCTTCTTTTAAAAACAAATATATAAAAGTTTGGATGCGCATCCAAATATGCATCAATTCAAGAATAAAAGGATTCCGAGGAAAATTAGAAGGAAAAGCAAAACTGGAGGGTGTATGTGTGTGTTTAGATTTTTCCCTACTTGAAGCAAACTTGTGCGTTGTCTTTGTTTATGATTAATGTTCTTTCAAATTCCTTTTTCTAGAATGATGGACATCAAGTGAGGCAGTTTGAGTCAAGTTCAGTCATTGTCCATTTCTGCTTGTGGAATTTTTAACTAGGTGAATCAATACAAGATTTTACCTTTACTGTATGCCTGTAAAGGTAACATTAGTACAACGTTGGCTTTTGTATTTGTTTATCTTCTAGATTGGGAGGGGAAAAGAAACATAGTGGTTCAGAACAGTAAATAGAATATTCTTGAAAGAAACTTTTGTGCACAGTTGCTTCACTGATCAACTCAGTTAGTTCTGAGTAAGAGCTTAATTTTCTGAAAGCCTTATTCTCTTCTCTGTTTGCTATGAATTAATGGCAGTTTTCATCTGTCATACATCTTATTGCCCAACTTCAAGGGTTTTGCATTCATTCGGTCTTGGAGCTGAGTGTTTCTTATAGACCGCTTTTGCTTCAAATTTCTTTAGCTACAAAAAGTTTTAAAAAGAAATGGTATCAAGCTTCTCCTTGGGTCAATGATGGCATCACAGTCCTCTCCTTTTGGTTGGCCTTGAGCCCAACTTCAGTGAAGACACTTAGCATTTTATTCTTTGTTGGAATTAGAATTAACTTTATATTTGCATGTGTTGTTTTTTCCCCTCAGCGTTTTAATGCTCTCTTGTTTTATTTTTCACTACCTCTGTTTTTAAGTCACAGAACTTTAATTGTTCTTCATCTCTCCATTAAATATTTCACTACCTACTTTTTCCTGAACCTGATGAGTAGTACTGTTCCTTGGATGTAGTATGCTAAATTATGATATGATTTGTAAACCCTGTGAAAGGCCTAGATCTTAGTTGTCATTATTTTTTTCCATTATTTTTCATAGGTTGTTTTCTCATTCCCTTGCTTTCTGTGTCAGATCATGATTTGAATTCTTTACTTTTTCTCATCACTAAGCATAAAACATCTTGACAACTGTAGCATTTCATACAGCAACTTTGTTTTTTAAGATGATGTGTTTCTGCTATTTCTCTGTCCTTTGTCTCTCTTGTTCTATGGTATTGTCAGATTCATTAATGGTCATTGTTCCTGTTCTCCTTACCCACTAAGTATCTTTTATTCTTTTAGCCTTTACCTTTCTTCATGAACTGTTGCGCTGTTTGGTGCAGTTCCGTGAACAATACAAAATTACTATTTTTGTTCTCTCGTCTTCCCACAAGCATGCTTGAAGTAATGGTTCAGAGTGTATATATGTGCCTCAACACTCAGATAGGAAAATTAAACCTTCTAATGTACTGGAAACTGGGAAAAGAAAAGATACAGTTGAGGATGAAGGTGCACTCACACTGCTGTATGGGAATAATTTATGCCCTGACTGTAAGCAGTAGTTGTCCTTCATATATATGGAGGCTAAGAGAATGTTGTTGCCTTCTGGTCATGTAAGTAATAAAGGGGAACGGGTGAGAGAAATGGAGCGTAGTCTTTCCTTATGCAGTTCATATATGCGAATGTTGCAATGAGGCTTTGATTTATATCCCTGTGTGCAATACTGGATCAAAAGTTGTTCTTAAGATGTTGAGCATGCATGCTATTCCTGTAATATTCCTGTAAGTTTTGCTTATAGTAATATACATGTTGAAAGAACAATTTTGCTGGTGACAAAATATGCTCTATTTTTAGTGGAAGACTTTAATAAGGAATATCTAGGTTACTGTTTTAGGATTTTTTAAAAAATTTACAATAGGTTCATATTTGCATCTTTTCTTTTTTTTCCTCTAGTGAGTATTATTTCAGCACAGAAAACTTGGAAAGAGACTTCTTTCTGAGGAGAAAGATGGACCAACAAGGATTTCTGCCTGTTTCATTGATTGCTAGCTTCCACCGGGTGCAAGCTCTGACTACAAATGCTATGCTTATTTTGGAGGTAAAATAATTGAGACTTATGTGCAGAGGAATTTGCTTAGCTTAATTTTATACTGCCATTTAAATTCAGCACTACGAAGTTAAAAAGAAATTCTCTCTGCTTGTAATGACAAGGATCCTGTAAACAGGCTATAAAAGGAAAAGTTTTGGATTTTTTTTTGTATGGATTTCTGCATGTTCCCATTCGAACTGAGGGCAGAATGCTGCATGAAGTGCTTAATTTTGCTGCTCATAAACATTCTGAGAGTTCTGCTACAAAAGGGGGGAGGAGATGTTGAGGGGCAGCTGTTACAGATGTCTGTTCTTTGGCTAGAATGAGTCTAAATTACATCATAACACACTTTGCAAAGCTGAAGTAACTTTAACAGTGTGTTCCTGAACTATGCTATGTGCCTTCAGTGGCAATAATTGCTATTTTCCTCAGGTCCAGAGGTATTTTTTCAATAGCAAGGCTGTCCAAATTGTAAACCCCGCTGGCAAGCAAAAAAGTGGAAACTGTTCTCCAGAACTCACTTGCTGTTTGATTCCTATTGTGTTATTTCCCTTGACTCTGATAAGATAAATGCCAGCTCCCTGCTGACCCTGTCATTAACTGCCTTGCCTGGTCCCTGAGCCAGCTGTTGGCATGCTGCTGCAGGGAGATGCTTTTCTGCCCTGTAGCAGACTCATTCAGGTGTGGTAGGAGCCTTTCTGGCATGTTGCTCATCGGAGGAGTGCCTTGCTGTTATGTAGTTACCTTAAGTCACATTTAAATAAGCCAGTCCAAGAAATACTGGAAGCATTCTTTTGTAAGATCTAAAATAGGCAACGCATTTGCAAGCATTTGTGGAGACCTAGACTGAGAAATGAAAATTATCTTTTTATACTTCAACTACTTTGAAGTACAAGGGTCTTACTTTCTGTATCTTTCTCTATGTTAACGTCAGAAAGGAAAAATGCTTGCAAAAATACTGGAAAAATACTTGAAAATACTTGTTGCTTTTATTTATTTATGTATTTATTTTTATTTTTTAATATACTGTGGGTTGGTTGAACACTGGTGTAGTTTGCCCAGAGAGGTTGTGAGGTCTCCATTCCTGGCTCAAAAACTTGCTGAAAATGGTTGACCCTGCTTCAGCAGGAGGGCTAGACAATCTCAAGAGGTCCCTTCCAACCTCAACCGTGCCGATTCTGTACAGTCTTTTAGCTCTGTTTAGAATGAAGAATAAAACACATGGAGTTGGGGTTTAGTTTGGGGAAGTAGCAGTGTGAATAGGAGAGCTAGAAAAAGGTGGGTTTAGTGCTCTCACACGAGAAAGAGGTTGCATATTGGGAAGCGGCAGGAAGTTTTACTTGAAATGAAAACACAATTTGGGTAGATATTCTTGGACTGAAAAGGTTACCAACACCTGTACTAAAAAAAATAGAGTGATGTTGGCAAGCAAGCACAAAAACTTGAATTTCCTTTATTAATTACTATGTAAAGAGTTAATTGTTTTCCCTGTACCTAAGAAGGTGCTGGATATGTACCTTTTTTTTAAAGTTGTAATATGTTTGTCCTACAGGCCCTGAAGGACAGCACAGAAGTTGAAACGGTGGATCAGAGGATACGAAAAAGGGTTGATCCAGAGAAGTGGCCAATTCCAGGTCCTCCTCCATGCAGTCTGCCACGGACGGACTTCTCTCAGCTCATCAATTGTCCAGAATTCATACCAGGACAAGTTTTTGGCTCTCATACTGGTAAAGGATTTATCTTATAGAAACTTAAGTTTAGGGCTGTCAATCTAGCTTAGGAAGTTTTCCTCTTAATACTGGTTTCATAATAGAAATTGTGCATTTGGTAATGGCTTCTGCAGCTGATATCCCTGGCAACCATACAGTTGCCAAGTCATGGGGCTGGCACGGCTGATACAAGGTAAATAAAAATGTTTTCTATGTGCTATGGCTGTGACTGTTGTCCAGAATAAATTATGATGACCTATAGTCCCTTAGTATTACCAATAGTAGTAGTAGTAGTAGTAGTAATCGTAAGTTAGTTGTGAAATCCACGTCGTTCTGAGAGCAGCTGAAAGTTGACTCTATTTGCTGCACCCTGGTTTTGGATGGGGATCTCATTCACATTATGAGTATGCCTTTGTCTGTGGACAGCACTTGGCAAGTAAATCTTCTACAAAAAAGGTGGCTCAAAGTAAATGAGAAGAGTGAAGACTGAGCTAAGCACCCATCCGTAGAGCTGGTGGATGGTGTAGAGAAAACGCATCCCTGATAATTGAATTCTTGTTTTCTGAATAACAGATGATTTATTTCACTGTTAGATACATTTTAATGTAAAGAACTTGCTAAATTGGTTTTCTGCTAGAATGGTGAGTGAACTATGAAAAGTTACCTCTGAAAACAAAAAGTTCTGCTGATCAATGCTAACTTCAATCCCAGAGGCAGAACAATAGTAGCTGCAGTTAAAGGAAAGAGCAATGCAATAATTTAAGCAAACAAACAAAAACAACAGGAATTTGAACTACTGTTTTCCAATGCTAGAGTCTGCACCAAGTTCTCCAAGAATAGGAAGCTCGCTGAGTCCAAAGGAAAACACTGAAACAAATAATTTTCAGATGATGTCTAAAGGATTGTCTGCAAGTTTGCCTGATTTGGACTCTGAACCTTGGATAGAAGTGAAGAAGAGGCATCGTACATCCACAGTCAAAGTAAAGGTAAAAAAAAAAAAAAAAAAAAGCAAAACCTGCCCACTTTCAGGTTATACTATAAAGCAAGATTTTTCACATCTTAATATAGATGATGCTTGATAACGTAATACTGCTAGTGTGCATACTTCTCGCTCTATCTAGAAGCTCATCTGAAGCTCGCTACAATGAAAAGGAAATACTGTGTTTTTTCTGATGGACAGCTGTATCTGATCATTATTGAAAAATGTATTGTCATGCATTGAGAATTGTTCTCGTATTTATTGAAAATGTTTTATCATGTTTTATTTGGCTCCCATTTTGATAATCATTATCTAGTTCAAATATAAAAAGCTTCACCTTCTCTTATTCAGGAATGTGTTCCTGTACCTGATCAAATGTCAGATCAACAACAGCCACCCCTACCTTCAGAGGAACAAGAACAAGAAGAACTTGATTTTTTGTTTGATGAAGAGATGGAACAGCTTCAAGGTTGTAAGAATAAACTCACTGATTGGTCAGACAGCGATTCAGATTATGAAATTGATGATCAGGACGTAAACAAGATTTTGATTGTAACACAGACGCCACCATATATGAGAAAACATTGTGGTGAAGATCGTACTGGCAACCATGTATGTCATGCAAAAATTACATCAGAACTTGCTAAAGTTATTAATGATGGCTTATACTATTACGAACAAGACTTGTGGATGGAGCAGAGTGAAAATGACACTACAATGAAGGTAATTTTCTTCATCTTTGACCTTTGGGCCCCTGATCTTTGAGGCTTTCAAATCTTTGGAAGGAGATTGGTGGTTTTGTTTTTAAGTACATTAAACAGCTATGAAAATACAGACAAGTTGAACTCTAGCACTTCATAGGCAGAGATCGACTGGGAACACTGCAATCCTCTCCCTTGTTGCACTTGGTTTAGGAAGAAGCCACTTCTTTTGTGAATGTAAGCCCAGTAAGTGGTGTGTCTGTAGGCAGTGCTGCTGCATTACTAGCAGATACTCAGCACACAGAAAGTATTAAGTTACCCGATGATTGAATGGTGAGGGGAAGGAGCTTTATCTGTGCATTAAAACAAAGGTGTGTTGTAGGAAGGAAAAAGGGTGAAAGTGGCCTAAAGGACAAATGAAGCCTATGGGTACAAAAGGGATCTGACAAAGTTAGAAATGAATGTTGAGAATGAAATTATGAAGTAAAGGTGGAATTTAAAATATGCAATTATTACAACAAAGAAAATGGCCCAGGAAAATCAGCAAACTGGAATAGGACAGTGAGAAATGGCACACAGCAAAAGAAATTATTTTGTTGCAGTGGTGGTGTTCTTAACAATAATTTAAACAACGCTTTTTCTCCTATACTGTGTACATGCACACATCTCCCATCCCACTTTCAGCTGAGTAGGACCACTAGTGATTTGAGATGTTGCTACTCAACTTATAAAATTCAGTCCTCAGTTTGTTACCATTCAAAAAAAAAAAAAGTTAAACACTATTTACAAGTACTGGCTTTTTTTTCATTTTACAAGTACAAGCCTGCGGAAAGGAGCAGGTCATCTGCTCCCCCAAATTGCTTTCCTTGTCACAATTGCTGCAGAAGACAGACTGTTTTGGTCTTGGCAGAAGGGGCAGGATCTCAGTCATATTTGTTTCTTTTTCTTCTGTAAAAAATTATATGTGAATGGCCTTGGCTTCCATTGCCTGATTTGTTGGCATAACTATTTTTTTTTCTCTAGCAAGTAGGGTCATTAGAATGTTGTATATTGTCTTTTTTATGTCAGCTTTTTTTAAGCTGTATCTAGGGACTCCCATTTTCATTATACCAAGTGTACTGGCTGTGTGTGATTTGTTGCATGTGAATTCTGGCTTATTTTCTCTTAAGAAATTCACCCATTCCACAGGATGATAACCATTGTGCTCTCTTTACACTTTGTTTTCTCTAATTCAGCAAGAGATTGAGAACTTTAAGAAGCTAAATCTCATTAGTAAGGAAGAGTTTGATAATCTTGCACCAGAACCAATCACTGATCCAACTGAGGAAATTCCTCCAGGGTCTTCAGGGTTAGAGAAAGGTAAATGATAGATATTTCTTGTTTACAATGTCTGTAATAAAGCCTGTATTTTAACTTCTGCTAGTGGTTCAGTCAGCAGTCTCGAAGGGATTTTTCTTTACCAAGTTCTCAAATTGTCAGGTGTTCATTAGTATTTTAAGTTCCCATTACATTAGAAGAAGCTGATCCTGGTAGTACTTTGCAGGATATATATGATCATCAATAGGTAGTGTTCTGGTTTGGTGTTACCATATAGAACACCAGGCATCTGTTGTGTAACTTGCCATTTATGATATGTAAGGCAAGAGCTAGAGATGTGAAACATTTTCTATTTCAGAATTTTTAGGGGTAATGTGGATAGAAGGAAGTGAGAATAATTTTCTACTTTATAACCTTACTGCGAAGTCTAAATTTCCAAATCTTATAAATCTTATCTTTCAAGGTATTTTGATTATATTAACGTATACTGGGGAACATGCTAATATCTTTAAAGTGGTTGAAGAAAACCACCTCACTAAAAAGCAAGGATGTGTTTACACTTTTGCGAAATGTTATTTTTCCACACACTTGTTTACTTTGCTATTATACATGCAGAAGAACAAGGAGAAAACAAAGAAGTGGATCTAAATTTTCTAAAGAAGATGTGTTTGAAATATTTATTTCATAGTTTAAGATATTTGAAATATTTATCTCATAATATTTTGAGCAGTCAGTCTGTACTGCGTCTGTACCAAGTGCTTTTTGTTAATTCAATTATCCTTTTGGGGATGATGCACTTGAAGTGAAGTACCTTTAAGATATTATATATTAGAGGAGCTTGAGATTTCAAAGCCTAAGTTTCTTTTGAAAATTAAGTGTTTCTTTCCTGTTTGCTGATGTAGTAGAGGAGCTGGCTTGTAATTCGGTCGGTATTGAAGCACCTCCAACAGCGGCGATGGCTCGATCACTGCCAACAGTAGTTCCAGAATCTCCCCGTGTTCACCCTGGCTTCACTCCACGAACCCCTCGCACCCCGAGGCTACAGGATCCCAACAAAACACCCAGGTTCTACCCTGTTGTTAAAGAAGCACAGTCCATTGATGTAAAGGTAGATGGAAAAACTGTATTTTTTTTAAATCCATAAAAAGCCTGTACAACTTGTGTCTAGGGTATAATTTATAACAAGAATGGAAAGGCAAAAAATGAAATATTTTTACTTGTAGTTTTCTTCTTCAAAATTTTACCACATTCATTCTTTTTTTATTTCTACAAAATTATTTCTGATTTTTCTCTGTAATGTTTCTTAAAAGTCCATGATGAAAGAGTGTAATGTATAAAGATGTTAAATTTGTTATGTTAAGATTAGTTTTGAGGTTATGAAGCTGGAGTGTTGTGACTTTATATTGTGTTATATACAAAATTGGTAGAATGCTGTTTTGAGAAAATGAAAACAAGTGAAATCAAATTAGGGAAATAAATACTTCATTTACTTTCTTAGACTCCAAGAAAAAGAAAAACACGACACAGTACAAATCCTCCCTTAGAATGCCATGTTGGTTGGGTGATGGATTCCAGAGACCATAGGCCAAGAACTTCCTCTGTGAGGTAAGTTGTTTGTTTTTGTCTGTTTCTTTAGAGATTTTTTTCCAATGTCATTGGCTCTCACTGCTAGTGGAGGAATAGATTATAATAAAAGAGAATTTATAAATACAGTGGGAGTAAGAATGAGCAATGGAAGAAGGGCAAATGGGAGTAAAGACAAACCTAGAATATAAAGCCATTTGTAAGTAAGCTAATTAAACTATTCTTAGTGTTCTTTTTTGATCCATCTTTAGCATAGCATTAAGATTACTTGAAGCACTGACGCTCACTTCAGTGATTCTGTTTGCCTTTCAGTGGTCATTTCAAATCATGCATTATAGTAATGCTTAACTATCATCATCCAGAACTGCCCATGTTTTAAGATACTAAGACAGAAACTGATTTTTGAGGTGCACCCTAAAACAGATGACCAGAAGTACAGGCATACATTGTAGTTGTTTTCAGGTGATCATAGTACTCTGACACTGCTTGCACAGATCAGAACAGTTAGAAACTGATTCTGGGGAAATGCACTGTTTATGGAATATAAACATTTCTTCTACAGCAGTTCCAGTGCTTCACCCTCAGAAGGAGCTCCACTCGCAGGAGGTTACGGGTGTACTCCAAATTCTCTTCCAAAATTTCAGCATCCTTCTCACGAACTGTTAAAGGAAAATGGCTTTACACAACAGGTGTACCACAAATACCATCGGAGATGTCTAATGGGTAAGCCACTAAATGGACTTCCTACAATTTTAGGTAGAAGTTAACAGGTATCACCTGATAGCAGTTTTCTCTGTGCTGTTCTTTATCCTTAACTTTTCCTGGGAAGGGAAAAGAAAATTGCTTATGTTTTATGATCTTTTATTTCCATTTAACTTAAAATTCCTTGACCCAAAAAAAAAAATCCCCTCAAACTCCTTGGCATCTTGCAAAAATATTTTCTGTGTTATTGTTTGTGGTTAAAACAAATAGAGTACTTGAGAGAAGATATTTAGTTGACTTAATAAGTTGATGAAGCCTCAAGTTAATGTTAATTGAAATACTTTTGGAACGTTTAGAATTAACATTCCTTGAAGATCTTTTGTTTGTGTTACTAATGAAGAAGCGCTTTAAAACATTCTGCTGGAACCTTAAAAAAAATTGTGTTTTTTTCCTCCTTTCAGAGAGGAAACGGTTGGGAATTGGCCAGTCCCAAGAAATGAACACACTTTTTCGTTTCTGGTCCTTTTTTCTGAGAGATCACTTTAACAAGAAAATGTATGAAGAATTCAGACAACTCGCTCTAGATGATGCAAAAGAACACTACAGGTACTAGCTTTTCCTTGCAACTTAAAAACTGGTTGAGGTCTTACCAGTCATTTTAAAGACTACAATGTTTACGTGTATCTGAAGTGAACATTTTTATTGTTAGCTTAGACTATTTGTAAATCTTTAAAATAGCAGTCTATGCAGGTTGTTTTAACACCAAAAACCCATTTGTACGTATTTGTGCTTTGCTGATAAATAGCTAAACTTACAGCATTTCCTGTCCTGTAATTGGTCCCATATGCTACAGAACCATGCAACCTGTTTTCTGTGACAAGGCATCTCTGTTCCTGGTAAAGCTCCCATGAAGGAAGGAAAAAAATATTTTCCTTCCATGGGTGACGACAATCTTAATCTCATCAAATTTGTTTGAACTGCTTGTCTTCCAAAAATACCAGAAAAAATACTGCTGCACTGTTAACTCTTTGCTATTACTCCCCTCTTTCCACATACTTCCCCCTCTTCCTGCCCCCAGCCTCTATTTCTCTTAGCCAAAGAGACAAGGTAGCCAGCCCAACGTTTTGAATGCCAAGTGAGGAAGTACTGTCTATGGAAATCATAAAGTATGGATATGTTGTCTGAGACTTCAGAGTGACAAGGCCCTAGGATGCAAAGGTGGCTTTAATAATAATTTTTATATCTGTTCAGAGTTTTCTTTATGCTTTGAGATTATCCAATTATCTATTTACCACAAGGAACTTCAAAAGGCCTTTAAGGGGAGGAACAGATGAACGCAGAACAGAAGGAGGGCCCAGTTTTGTTCTTTTCTTTGTGATTATTTTTGCTAAAAGTAGAGGACATGGTATCACAAAGGGAAGTCGATCCAGGTTCTTACAGAAAAAAATGCTGGTTTTCTTTTTGTCTGTCTGATATTGCAGAATTATGTTTCAAAGAAGTGCCATTGGCATATTGGGCTAGCATTAAAAGTGAGAAGAAAAAACATCCTATTCAATTTCATACCACTTGCTTATTAAGATTTAGCAAATTTGCAGGCTGAACCAAAGTAGCACAAAACAAACAAAACATTAAACCCTTAAAACCTAGGTTGTTGACAAATACCTATATGGTATCCAGTACTGTAGAAATCATACACACATTCTTCAGTCCAGCCCAATTTTCACTTTCTAGAAAAGGAGGTACGTATATATTTCAAGATCTAGCAGGTTTTGTTATGTGAATTATTTACACCTCACAAAATGAGTTGTGTTTTTGTTTTTTTTTAAACAGGCAGTTGGAATTGATGCATGAGAATTACCCTAATGAAGTGTTCCTTAAAATTGTATTGATTACCTAGATCAAACTGTGACTTTAAGATCTCTAACCTCTGCATAATTTCCTACAGTCATGTGGTACTGCAGTTATCCTTTGACTGAATGAACTCAGCCATCAAATAATGGTGTACATTTGTACAATGCAATTCACCATTCACAGTAACATGATGGCCAATGTGGCACTGGGAGTCAGAGTCAAACATTCTTCGGTCTCAGTTCACTTACCTGAGTAGTTTGATTTTTAATTATTTTTTTTTAATCCTCACTTGGCTGCGTACATCAGACTTCTTCACACATGCCTGCTAAAAAATTCAGATTAGTCTGCAAAGGATGTAACTCTGAAGTGGAAGGAAAACAGTAATACATGTAGTAAGAATAATTTCTGGCAATATGGCTTTGTGTCTGTGTGTGTGTGTGTTTTCCCCCTTGTCCCCTTTCTAAAAATAGATTTAAAAAAAGTTCCCAGGGTGTCAGCAAAGCTAATGAGGATAGTGAACAGCTTCTGTGTAACGTAAAATGAAGTTGCGTGTGCACCTCAGCTCAGAGATGATTAAGGAGCATGTGATTGAGTTGTAAAAGAGAGTGGTAGCAGAGGAGAGGAGAGTGATGTCAGATGTTTATTCTCTCCAGTAGAAAACCTAAGGGGTATGGAATGAATCCAAAACAGTTGGAGGTGTTTCTTCATGAAGTGCTGGAGCTGTGGGTCTCACATCCTAAAAATCCAAAAGCACTTGTCTTGCATTTCTTACGTGTGTATAGCGTCTGTAGTTTGTGAATTGAAACCATGCGACAAACCTGATATTCTGAAGTCAGCTTTATTTGTAAAGGTATTTCTGAACAATTGGTTAATAAAAATTGTTTGGAACAGGAAGTGGTTTTTGTGAGAATGGAGAAATGAGACTAAGCCATTTACTTACATGCAAGGAGAGACTGAAAACTTGGGTCCTTTTGAGGAACTGCATGCATACGAGTGTATGGATAAGATTTTTCAAACCTATTTGTTCTCTTTTAGGTACGGATTGGAATGCTTGTTTCGATTTTACAGCTATGGCTTGGAAAAGAAATTCAGGCAAGAAATATTCAAGGACTTCCAAGAAGAAACAAAGAGGGACTATGAAGCTGGTAATTATCATAGCCCAGTCAATGCTCACACAAGGGTAACTTTAGCTGGGAGATCCCTATTCCTTGGCACTGACTTGTTACATCAGGTCGGTTCTAAGTACAAGAGCAGCTTTTGGTTTTGTTCCTTTTATCTCCCAATTCTCGCACGTGTATAGTTAACTGTAGTTAACTATAACCTTCGTAAATTGGTAAAATTATCTTTTTCCATTATTAGGTCAGCTTTATGGACTGGAAAAATTTTGGGCTTACCTAAAATACTCTCAGCACAAAACACCAGCCATTGACCCCAAACTGCAAGAGTATCTTAGTAAATTTAGAAGACTGGAGGACTTCAGAGTGGATGTAAGTTTCAACACCCATTTTAAACAAAAATGTGGTTTATCAGTATTTTTACTGCAAGGTAAACTGTTTAAGAATAGTACCGTATTACACAATAAGGTAGCTTTAAAATCCCATCAATCACTACAAAGCATGATTTAAAAAATTAAACACAAATGATAAATGCGTTTTGTTCTAGATGTGCTTTTCAGACCAAACTATGGTGCTGAGATACTGTGGCTAGGATGTTAAGTGTTGAATCATTTGTGTTGTGTAATGAGATACAGTAAATAGATACGAAATGCTACCCAAAGTGGACTTCAAGGGTTTTTCTACTCCATACAGTGTCATCTGATGAGACATTACTTCTATGCTGTTTAGGAATTCAGAAAATCAATTAAAGCCCAACAAGCAGTTTTTTTTTAACAAACTGTAACAGGCATTTAACAGGCATTGTCCTTGCTGTGACTTAGTATGCCAAATTCAATGCATCCTTCTAGTAGAATGCTGAAATCTTCAACTGTGTGATTCCAGGTTACAGAGTTGCCATGCTTGTCTGAACTGGGTTATGACATACTACTGCATTACCATCATCCTCTGCAGTCCTCATTTCTAGGAGTTGTGGCAAATCCTTGGCAGTGACTATAAAATCATGTTCCAAGATGGTTTTAAAGTCCTAAATTTGACATGTGTTTACACTTTTAGTTAAAGGGCCAGACTATCATCAGTGAGCTAAGAATAACTACTAGGATTACTAAGCCTAACTAAGGGCCCAGCTACAGAATGCTCTTTTTTGGTCCTTTGTGTATATTAAATGACAAATACCCGGCTTTATAGGAAATCTTCTAACACACTACCATGTTTATTTTTAGCCTCCTATTAGTGAAGAGCCCGGCAAGAGGAGACCGTTTGCTGCAACAGGTGAGGATTCAGGTCATCGGAGACAACTGTCTAATTCTTCTAAAACACTTCTTGCGGCTCATCCCACAGCTGCCAGTCAGTCCCAGGCACTGGAAGACGTTACCGGTGGGAATACTGCACAAGCGCACATAGTAGGTCATAATAATGCTGCCACAAAATTGATAGAAAGCGATGTACCAGAAAAATAGACTAAGACTTGCGCCCTTGAGAATCAACTTTTACATCGCTATTTCAATTTGGAGATCTCCAAGGCGAACCAATCTAATATGTGATTAAAAGTGTATGGGAAGACAAAAGTTTGCATTTTCTTTTTCAGAGGATTAATTTCCAAAATGCTTACCCTAGGAGAGTCGTTCTTGGTTTTGGAATCATCAGGAAGGTCCTAGGGAAGATTCTTTGGCTTCAGTATTGCTTTCCTCAAGCTTTTGTTTACAAAAAACTGCATTCCTTGCATATGCAAAAAAATACTTTGGGGATGCCTTACATTTCAGCTTGTATTTCTTAAAAAAAGGTATGATATATCCATCTTATTTACTGTGCATTCTTTGTCCCGATTTTCCCATTATTTGTATTTTACCAAAGCAAAAAAGATGACATATGTATAATTTTAAATGTAAAGAAGGATCTATGTGATTGGTTTGCTCTCAAATCTGTAACTATAAAAAGTATGTTTTTGTGTAAAAGCACTCAAGAATGTGCAGCTATATATGAAACTGCATTGCTGGATTCTATTTAAAGACATAGTATCTATTTTTTTCAGGGTCTCCATAGTTAGTATTAAGTATGGAGTTTGAGTGGACATAACTGGGATAGTTTTGCAGATACTTCCTTCAATACTGGTTATTAATAGGCAACAGTAAAATACAGGGAAAAATGGATCTGTTGATTTCATAGTGTTTTAAATTAACGTACAGTATCTGCAATTTGTGCAGGTTGTTAAAATAGCAAACTCCAAATTATTCTCAATTGGAGAGGTATTTTCATCTGAATTCTCATATGATTATAAAGTACCCTAACAGAAAAGGCGTAACTTCTTAAAGACTCTTTTTCTCTGTATTTCAAGGAATAAAAATTAGTTTGGAGGGAAACGAAGTGTTCCTTGTGAACTTTTTTTTTTTTTGCTTTATTTTGCAATATTTGAATGAAGTTCTGCTTAAATTGCGCTAGCTAAGATTAAATAATTTCAAACAGGTCTAAGTACAATTTCACTGAATTTAAGTTATTGAAATACAACTTCATTTCTGTAGCTAAAGGATAGGGGTGGTTATATCCTGTAATTTCTTACTAATTTTTTTATTTTGATTTAAAAAAAAAATCTCAAAATTAAATGAGTAATTTATTTCTTCCAAGGGTAGGTGAAAAGAACTTCAGCTTTTTGTTACTTGTTAGCTGTGAAAAAGCCTTCAGTTGAAAACTGTCTAGCACAACTGCCTTAACCCCTGAATGTGTCCGAACAGAATGTTCATTCTTATATGCAGTTTCATACTTGTATCACATCTCAGAAGTTGTTATAAAAAGCCCGTTATTTTTTTTTCAGTCATTGTCTTGTGAATCTCACGGAAATGAATTATGAATGCCTGCACTGTAAATGCGTACGGTAGCAGTGGCTTGACCAACAGTTAACAGTTTCAATACAAAATTGAGCCTTTTGTTTAGTTGTTCATTTATAACAGGCCACTTAAGTAACATCCTTTCAATATGCTGAAGTGACACATCTCAATCCCATGTTCGATCCCTGCCTCTTGCTATCCATGAAAATGATGAAAATGTAAATTTGGATTGAAGTTGTATATAAAAGAAATACTTATATTTCCTTTCACTTTTTTCATTGGACAATATGCAGATTAAGCTTTTAGTGTGTAATTTTGTGATATCTTGACAAATTTTATAAAAACAACCCAAAAAACTCTAATAATGGTGTATTATCAATTTATTTATTTTTGTTCCAAAAGTGTGGAAAAAAAATCACCTTAAGAGAGTCTAAGGCTGTAGGCTTGCATGCGAATTCCTGTTGCCTCTGCTGCATGAAGGTATTAGGGGACTTCTCCAAGCTGAAGCAGGTTCTTAAAATGTAAGCCAGGTTTTTTTTCCAAGTTCCATAATGATTGTTCATGTGACTATGTATTTTAAAATAAAAAAACAGGAGGTGAATGATAAATATGGCTGAAGGCAAAAGGCAGTGACTAGTCCCTGTCTTGGTGATTTCCATAGGCAGAGTAGCTTGGTGTCCCCCTGAAGGGACACAGTCTAAGCAGCCCCATCTGACTACGGTCAGGAATGCTCCCTTTGGCTCCCTCCTTGCTGCCCTTGCAGAGCAAGGCAGCATGTAAATAGCAGCAGCATAACTGAGCTGAGAACACATAAAAATTTAGAATAAAGCCCAAAAATAGAACTGGTTAAGCAGCTTGTTCTGCTGTAAGGTTCAACACCCTTTCTGTAACTGGCATTCATGTTACAGAGCCATAGATTTGTCTTTGGACATGCATACAAGTGTCCAACATGCTTTCTGATGCCTGGTAAATCCATTTAAGCTAACTTTCAATTTGGCTGTCTTAAGACTGAGTGTAGTTAACATTTTTTCTGCTAAATACTTAAGTTTTAGATCTTTCACGTGTCTAAACATGCTTGTGTGCTTATTACAGAATTGTCTGTTTATCTTCTTTGCTTTTGCTAAAAATGACTCCATCAATACTTCAAAACTATACCTTGCTTAAACTAATTCACTAAGGTTTTTCTTTAGTCTTGCTCAAAATACTGGATTCTGAAGGCTTTTTAGGGAAGACAAGCCTGGAGACAGCTGTTGTTCCTCATGGAGAACAGCTAACATATTTCTAAAAGGAGCAGCAGTAGCCTGTCTGCACAACTGATGCTCTTCCTGGAGTTTAACAGGGTTAACAGGGATTTTGGTTTCTGCATGAGATAACAGAACAGAAACCAGTTTGTATTCATGGCTGCTTTGCTTCAGGCATCCCTGCTGTGCCGAGGTGGCAGACCACACTGGGCCCCTTTCAGACTGAGTCAGCAGTATCTGATGTTCTTTTACTAAGCCATCCTCCAGCTACACTAACCCATACCTATAATCATAAATCTGCTCTCTTCATCCCAGAGTTTTGGAGAGAGAAATACAGGACCGTGTAATACTTTTACAAACTCCACTAAACACTGAAGTTAAAAAAAAGTCCTTGAACCTAACCCTGTCATGGAATTTACACAGCAAGCTGAGGTGGTATTATATGACCCAACTAATAACAAAACTTCAAAGTACAGCTAAAAAGCAGCATAATATTTTAAAGAAATCTAAGCATCAAGGTTAGCAGTTTTAAGGCAAGGCTTTGGGTTAATACCATCAAAGCTGATTAGTTGTGGTTTCTTTTTAATAACAAAAAAGAGTTAATGCCTTCAGCTACATAAAACCAAATTGCAGTCTTCATACTCCCCTAAAATGGGCATCCAAGTCAGTCACTAGAAAGGAGCTTTTATACTCCAACAGCAAATGAATGCTTGTGGTCAAGTGACAAATACAGAACTTTACACCTCTAAAAAGGCTTACACAGTACAGTTGTAGGCTTTGCCCAGTTACCAGAAACTGTGACAGGTCAATAAAATATTATCATCACAAAACAAGTACAGTTTGTAACCAGAATCGGGGGCATTACATTTTTTCATGAATTTTGCAAGAAGGTCGCATTGCTAGACTGTGTTCCATAGAGCTCTAAAGTTGCTGCCTTCTGGAACAGTGAAATGCACAGAAGCACAAGAATCCCCCCATCGAAGGGAAGACTTCTGGGCTGGGTGAGTTTTGTTTCTTCCTTTAATTTTCACATAAACAACCCTTAACTGGTATTAGAACTAGCCTTGGCACACATGGTCAAGTAAAAGCAAGTCTAAAACCCTGTCTGTAAACACCTACTAATAAACATTCACCTTTAACCATAAATTGGAAGTCTGTGGGAGGATTTACCAGTAACAGTCATACTTAATTATTTATTTGGTTTCCGTATTGAATCCTTTAAGGCCAGAAGTACGTTATTACTACTTGTAAGTAGGAAAAGGCCTAAATTGCCAAATCTACAACTGCAATTGCATCACTTCATTCATGGCTGAAAAAAATGAATCAGATGACAGTTATAGTATTTTTTTTTTCCCCACAACCTATACTTTTATCTGTAACATTAAAATTGGAAAGAACCAAAACTGCAACAAGAAGAAATTCATAAATGAATTTCAGAAATAATTCATAAAAATCCTAAACAGCTTCACCCTAAAGAAAAAAAAAAGCCACCAAGCAGAAATGGTTAGAAAGGCTATTATATTCAAAGTACTAGGTCTTGGTCAATATTTTGTATTATTATATGCAACAATGCATGTGCTTCCTGGAGGGGGAAAAAAAAACAAGAACACCCACCAATACATGGAGAAAACAAATATCAAAGACTCAAAAAAAAAAAAAAAAGGGTTAACTATTTCTTGACCTTTTCAATCAATAGGTATCAATGAAGGATACTGAAATCAACTTGATCTCACAGAAATAAAAAAATAGAAAAATAATTTAAAATATTATGATAGCTTAGAATAACTATTTAAACTGAAACAAGACAAGAAGCAGAAAGTACCAAACTGATATTAAATGCTGTGCTAGACTCTGAAGGGTAGAAAATACAGATCTTAACCAAGGAAAAGTAACTCTAGCTCAATAAAAACTTATGAACAAGTACAAGGATGTGAGAGGATAGTTCTGAAGTGTCTAGTAAAAATTTGGTATGTTCAGATTAGGTAAAAACATGGCACTTTTTCTTTTTAAAACCACAAAGATTTTAAAATTTCCTGCTCTAAGAAAAATTCTTTGGGAAGCAACGTAGTGATGAGGCAGAAGTGTCAAAACAAATGACTGCTCTTAAACTAGCTTAAGTCTAGTCTAAGAAAACAACCAGTATCTTAAACTGGAAATGTATTTTGTTCCTACTGAAGACAAGAAATCCTCCCTTCAAGCCCCTTATGTTGCTTAAACAAAAATTTAACACATGGTCAGTATCAAACTGTCATTTTCATTAGTTTATAGTGAATTTTGACTAAGTGACTGACACAAATGTTACAAGGATGAGTATCTCCAAAAAAATGTAATACTAATTGCACCAAAGCTTCCACAGATTCAATGTTGTTCTGAACTACCTGGTCTGTGTCAGCTTTCTGCAAAAAAAAAGATAAAGGATACTTTAAAGCATCTTTGGTTGTCAGCTTTAAATCACTAAAGAGTTTTTATGCAGGCTGAATGAGACAAATTTAGATCTACTAGACATCAAAATTTCGGATTTAGTCTGTGTAACATACTGCTATCATAGAATGACAGAAGTAGTTTGTTTTGTAGTCTTCACAATTACCATTAAATAAGGTGAAAGCAAAAATCATCCTTCTACCCATCCTTGATAACTCTTCCATTTAACCGATCTTAAACCTTAAAAGACTGGAGCAATGCTCTTTTTATATGATTTTTTGGGCGGATCTCTTTAACTTTGATCCTGTTAAGCTTCATTGCAGTTCCTATAGCAAGGGAAGGGAAAAAGCTGCATTGGGTTTGGAAGTCATACTGTATGTGTCACTACTGTTCTCTCTGTGGTAGGAAGTTTCTACATAAAACAGACACAAGCAAGATAAACAGCTAAAGCTACAGCTATGCCAGATGTAGCAACAGTAATAGCTGTAACGAGTAAATAGCAGAGTAACTCACGTCAGGCGTTAGGAACTTGCAGCCATGACTTTGTACAGTAGAAGCTGTAACACAATCACAAGTGTATTTTTATAGCTGGCTGTCCTATTTGATACTGCCATAAGCCTTCTTTTCCTGTTACACAGCTACACACATCTTGATGCCATCATGAGGAGCAAAAGCTAAAAATGAAAGGTATACTCTAAATGAAGTATAAAATCTTTTATAGAAAGATTTGGTAAAAGAAAAAAAAAAAAAAGAGTAGCGAAGTGTCCAGATAGAGAACTAGCACTGAAGCACTCCTAGCTACCATCCTGTGCGAGAAAGCTTTTCTTCATTTGTTGGTATGTCTCCACTCTTCCGTCTAAAACACATTTTTGTGGTTAGTTTTACTAACATGCCCAGCATTTCAGCAGCGTTAGACACTTAGTAGATACTTAATAGAGTAATAATGTGCAAACAGAAGTATGGACATCAATGCTAAGTTAAACAAGGATGTGCCCTAAACAGAAACCAGCACTTTCATGAATTATATCCAGTAACTGAATAGCTAAAATGCCTGACTGGATTGTTCTGCCTGTACAAGAACCTGCTAGCGTAACCTACTAACTGTTGAAATGGCTTCAGTTCTGTTATTTCTTCTTCTGTGATAAAACTTATATTTCAAGTGTGGACATGCAAGAAAGAAATGAATCTGCCTTCTAGGACACATGATTTACAAGCGATTCAATGGTGTATTTTTGTTTCATTTACATCAATATAAAACTCATTCAGTCAAACAGCAATAAAAATGCAGTAGTTCCGGGAATTTCTTAGTTTACAATTCAGAATAGACGGATGGAAATTTGTTACTGTAGGCTTATCACAGGTGAAAACTGCAAGCAGAATTACAGATGTAAGCCATAAAGCTGTGAGGCACAAACTTAATGGTGTCACAGGTACGGATTTAGCAAAGGAGACAGTGAAGTTTCCGCAAGATGTTGAGTGATACACATGTATTGATCTCCAGCGTCCTGGTCCTGTAGATGACATGAGACACAGTCCTCTTACTGCATGTTATACTTTTACCTAGAATGCTTCTCCTTATTTACAATCAGTTCACTTTTTTCTAACGTAACAGCGTTGGCATAGGTTTATTCTTTTAACTAGCACTTACCTGAGTAAGTCTTCCAAGTTCTCCAAAAGATGGGACTTGAAAAATAATACCCCAAGAGCTAGGAACAATATTAACAGCAATAAATATTTCACATCCCAGACTTCTTCCCCTTACTTTGTATTCTATCATATTCCAGCTCTGCTTAGCAGCTTCTACATAAAGTCTGACAGCACATTTGGTATTGTACATGCTTTATTAAAATGGTACTCGTATTTACAATATCTGCAGAAACAATCCCTCCCAAGTCTTGCATTCAGACAGACACGCACACATACACACGCGCGCACGCCCCTTCACTCTACAGGGGTGTGAAGGCTATGCTCCCAAAAGTTAGGCAGCTTCTGGAAGAGGAGGAAGGGTGACTTTTTTTTTTTTAATTACTTAAAAAGAAGCATGGGAGTATGCATTTGGCCATCACAATGCTAATTTAAGTATATGTAGTATTAACATATGGCAGTAACACTGAGTATTCCTCTTTTACATTCTATACACAGAATGACATCAAGGTTTTCCAGTCAACAGAACTTTCTAACTTCAGTCTCAATGCTGCTTGTAGTGACTATGAAACCACGATTTGGGGCTTTCCCTTAAAACAATTCAAGTCTATGTAAGCGAAATAAGGCACAATTAATATTCGATTTGATTTAGACAATGGGAAAAAGGAAGGTGGGGAGGGCAGGCTTCAGATAATAGTTGTTGCAGAGGAAACAGTTTTACCCAATCCTTTTGAGAAAAGGATGAATTTACCCCCATCCAGATCTACATGGACTTCTCGTAGAGAACTGAAGTATTCTGCCAGGGCTACTAACGCCCACATACAAAACAAAATTGGAAATTCACATTTTCACACCAGTTTCAGTAGTCTAACCTACTGATACTGATGTACATGAATACATCTTTCTTTAATGCTGAAGGAGAAGACACACATGAAACAAGTTTCAAATCTTTCACTGAGCTTGAAGACTCGCGTCTTTAGAGAGCTTGTAATATATGCTATTTGAAAAGGCTTCAGCTTACTGATAAAAAGGAATAGCGTTGTTGCCTTTAAATCCCTGGCCCCTCTTCACTAACGAAGCCTCACCAGACATTACAAATAAACTGCAACAAAACGGTTGGCAGCACAAATAATGTCTAGTATTCAAATCTTCATTTGTGAGTATATTATTTTCCTTGTACAAAACCTGTTGAATGTTTTTCGCAGCAGATGAACTGTACCCAAAGATGCAGGACATTCTGTGATGGGGAATAAGAGGTTGCAGTTCCGAAGGCCCCTGACTTTGGTTGTTTACAAAGTTCATTCCTGTTTAGTGTGATCCTTGGTATCTTCCTCATCTGTGTATTCTGATGGTTCTTCCCCTGGTTTTAGGAGTCTACCTACGTAGTCGTATTTTTCTGAAAGAGATTTATGATTCCATTACAATCAAATACAGCTAGTTAGCCTGCACTGCTGCAAACGCACTTCTTCCCATACATGCTAAGGTTCTGAGCCTGAATCCCTGAAACTGATGGCAATTTATCAGCAAGCTCAGCTCTTAAAACAATCTTGATACCACTGCTGTTCACCACTTCTGCTCACAGTACTTTGTTTTAGTTCTCCCACAGCTCATCAGCCCAGGTTTATCGCACAGTGGCTGAAAACGCCTGCTACTAAATCCAGCACAAATTCCCTCAGCTTGTTTTGATTTCAATTAATGTGAAAAATTGTTTCCCCTCCCTCCAGAGACATCCTTTCATATTCCTCAGAAATTATTTCAAGACAAACTTGTTCAATCCTTCATGCCAAAACAGCTCTTAGTCTTAATCATAATTCAATGGAAGCCAAATCCAACAATGTGAGAGCAGGAATTCATTGGCTAAGCTACACTGAGATTCAAGAGTGAAACTCTATATTCTGCATAGCTGAGAACACCTTTCCTTGTACAAAGCTAGCAGGCTGAAAAAGCTATAGCAGGATACAGTAGAATCCTCCCTAATTCCTGAAATTCCTGGTCATTTCCTAAGAAAGCTACACTACATTATCAATGTTGCTATCAACATCCCTTTAAAAGATGCCCCAAGCCCAAATCAGTTATTTTTATTAAAAGCATTTCCTTAAGCTAAAGACGTTCTCATTTGAGAAGTTACCTTTAAATTGCATTTCCCACTCTCTTACACTTTCCATCTGTACAGCATTTAAGTCCGATAGGTCATCATATTCATCTCTGAGTGCATCTTTATCTAGACAGAAAGTTGCTAGTCCCCTGGAGGCATCTCTGCCAGCAAATATTCCGTATGGACCCTCTGGAAACAAAAAGACAAAACCAATACCTTCAAGTTTTTGTTTATGGTGTCTGATCTCAATTCATTACAGTCTGCTGAAGCGGTGCATCAAAAGTCCCACAGTTTTGCAGTGACAGGAACAGCAGCAGTTTCAACACCATGGCTGTTCAACGTTCAACAACACTGCAATTCAAACTTAAGTGCCACTCGGAGATAAAGTCTGCTGAGAGAAGCAGAATTGGGAAAAGAGCTTTGGAGGGGTATCTGGAAAAATCCCTGACACTCGGCACAAGTCAGGTGATGCAAATTCCAAAGAGACTGGAGGCTGGAATTC